GGAATATCGTCCTCAAGGCCTGGTGGGCCAGGATGTGCTCCACTCTCTCCTCCTCCCCCTCCATCTGCTCCCGTGTGCTCTGATCAGATATGTCCCTCTCCAGGAGCTGCAGATTCAGTGCCTTCCTTTGAAATAAATTCTTCTGGGGGAAGGGGCAGCTATTTTGTCTTTAGTGATCATGCTGGGAGGATGAGCATCAGAGAATGACTAGACTTTAATTTAAAACAAACAAAGGTTTTTATTGTGATTTGAGTTAACCTGTACAGAGCAAATTGGTTTTTTCATTTAGCCCACACACATTGTGTTTTGTGACACATTGCAAGCCTTACAATGTAATAGCCAACTTCCTCCCTGTGTTTTCCTTTCTGTTCGTCCGTCTGCCCTATTCCTTCCTACCTTCGGTGCCATATCCTTGAGCAAATCTGCCATTTTGATCTTGTAAAGTTGATTGTTCCACGGAGTGCAAATCTCCCTGGTGGTTTTGTTCACCTAATGGAACGACTATTTAGTTGAAAGTTGACCCTTAGAGGTGAGTTTAGTTTCAGGCCTGAAGGGTGTCTGAGGCATCTGTCTAGGTGTAAGTTATCATCTTTATGGGAACGGATCACTAAGTCTTTTCTTCTGTGAAGCTCCCAACCAAACCCAAATCACTGCCATCGAGTCAGTTCCGACTCACTGAGACCCTGTAAGACAGGATAGAACTGCCTCCGTGGGTTTCTAAGACTGTAACCCTTTATGGGAGTAGAAAGCCTCATCGTTCTCTCTCATTTGCTGGTGGTATCAAACGGTTGACCCCGCAGTTAGCAGCCCACTGAGTAACCACTATACCACAAGGGTTCCTCCCATGAAGCTCAAACAACAACAAAAAAATCACACTAACGGCCATTGAGGCCGTACTGATTCATAGTGATACTATAGGAAGTTAGGACTTCCTCTGAGTTTCTGAGGCTGTAGCTCTTTATGAGAGTAGAAAGCCCCGTCTTCCTCCCAAGGAGCTTCTGCTGGTGGTTCTGACCTTACAGATTGCAGCCCGTCACGTAACCAGTACACCACCAGGGCTCTCCCTATGAAGCTAGGTGAGTTCAAATAGCCAGCATTTTTGTTAACAGCCATTGTACTGCCCAGGCTTCCCCACCCCCACCCCACCCCCAAAGCTTAGATTTCATCAGCATCATGACAGGTTTTATTTTACTAATGCTTTTTACAGATACTGCCTTCTTAAGCTCTGGAAGCCATGGAGGAGCAGTCAGACCCCCTTGCTGCAGAAGAGCCACCGCCTCCTACTGTAGTGGTCTGCAACCATGAAGGACCGCCCGTGGCCCAGCCTGCACCTCTCGTTTTCCTTGACTTGAATGCAGAAGAGCGAATGGAGAGAGGTTATCCAGGGACTTCTGCAGGAGAGGGACCGGGATCTGGTGCCAATGCCACCGCCCATGGGTCTTCACAGGAGCCCAGGAGCCCCTTCATTAATGGGGCGCAGGGGCTTCATGGCACGCTGGAATTCCAGAGGCTTCCACCTTCAAACCACCGTGTGGGACCGATAAGAACAAGGAGGCGGGCTGCCTCCGCTCCCCGCAGGGCAAGGTCTGGAGGGTCTCAGAGGACAGGCAGTGCCAGGTAAATACATGTATGTCACAGGATTAGTACCAGACTGGGAATTATGACAGTGGGGCTCTAGTCATAGCCCTGGTGCCACCTTTGGTAAGCTAGGTAACCTTCTGCACCTTCACTTCCTCATAATTCAGATGGAAATAAAAGTGCTTGCCTTGCCTCCTTCTCAAATTATTGATAAGAACACTACAGTGCTTTGAAAACTAGGAAGGCAGACTTTTTAGAGATGTTTTGTTGGCATCAGTTTTTATGTTTTTAGGTGCCATTAAGTCAGTCCTAACCCATAGTGACACTTGGGCACCACAGAATGAAACAGGGCACAGTTCTGTGCCATCCTGCTGATTGTTCTGTGCCTGAGCCCATTGTTGCAGCCACTGTGTCCATCCATCTCCTTGAGGGCCATCTTCTTTTTCGCTGCCCCTCTACTTTCCTAGTTTCTATAGAGGTTGGCTTTCTAGATCATGTATACCTTATACCAGAAAGTATTTCTTAGTTCACCGCAGTCACCCAAGATGTATTGTTAACTCCCACAAAAGGCTGGGTTTAAAGAAACTGTGAAAAAGTAGGAGTCCTGGTGGGCTGTGGAGTAAGCATTGGGGTACTAAGCTTCCTGCTGTTCCTTGGGAGAAAGAGGACACTTTCTGTTCATATAAAGATTTAAGGTCCTAAAGGACTGTTCTGTTCTGTTCTATAGAGTCACTATGGGTTGGAATCAACTCGATGATGGTTGGTTTGTGTGAAATGTAGAATGTGACTTAAAAAATGTATATGCCTACTCATCATTTCCATCCCCAAGCCAGACAAATTGCTGGGTCACGTTCTGTAAAAGGTATTGACACATGACCCAAAACCAGGAAACTAAAATAGCTCTGAGCAAAAGGATCAGGCTTCAGTGTAGGGTAATAAAATGATGATTGGGTAGAAAAGACAAAGACCAGGCTCGAGTCTGATATTCCTGCTTCATCTTCCAAAGGCAGCATTAAACTGTTGGAAATTGGTTGATCTGCGTGACTAGGATTTATCTTCATCCTGCTGTGATTTATTCTTGGGAGGGTGAGCCATTGTACTATCAGTCTTATGTCTTGTTGGCTACATAGATCAAGATCATCTCTGGAAGCCTTCTTCCAAGTGAGCAGGACCCAGCCTCCCTTGCCAGCTGACTCTTACCCCGAGGCTAGCAATCCTGCTTCTGAAGACTTGGAGGAGGAGTCAAGTAACTCCGGTTCAGACAGTGACAGCACCACTGCAGAGGATGAAGAGGTTGTCCAAGGAGAGGAACCCAGAGCTGATGTTTTGGGAGGTATTTTTGTCCAATTTTGACATGAAGCCAGAAACAGAGTGTCTAGAAGGCTGTATTTGTGCTGTAATACTTTGTTTTATCTCCCACAAATGTCATAGGGCTTTCCCTGGCTATGGTTCTATAGAAAGAATTTTTTTCTGCCTCATGTTTTTGCTCTTTTAAAACTCATTATATTCATAGCCTATGACCTAGCAATTCTGTTTCTAAGTATACAACCAAGGAAATGAGTCATCAGCTCACATGAATAAGAGTATGGTAGACCTCTTTGTAAGAGTAAAATATCCTGAGAACTACACAAATGCCCATCAGTAGAATAGGTAAGTATTCATTCACACACAAATACTGTACAGCAATGAATCTTAAAAACACAGCAGAGCAAAATACAAAAGTGAAATGTACCTTCTGTGCCTTTCCCTTGGCTTCTGCTGCCTCCAGCAATCCTTAGTGTCTTTTGCCTGGAAGATACATTGTTCTAATCGCGGCTTTCATCGTCTTATGGTATTCTTTGTGTCTCTTTCCTCTTTATAAAGGGAGCCTGGACTAGTGTCCACCCTAGTGGTCTCATCTTGTGTGCTTTTGCAGAGGCATTTCCAAATAAATAGCTGATAATGCCTGGGAAAATTGTCATCCTTTTTGTGGCAGTAGTAGAAATGAAATGCAGCAGTGACCCAGGCTTTCCCCTACGAGCTTCTCATACCTAACTGGAGGAAAGGGCCAGCCCCCACAACTAATCATGGGTTCAGTAAGAGCAATTGTAGGGTTAATTATATGAGACCAGAGGGCAGGAGAGAAGGGGGCGTGAAGGAGGACAAGGGGAGAGGTGGGGGAGGGGGGCCAGGATGAGGGAGAGAGAGCTCTTTATTGCTAACCCAGGCTTATCTTTGGGGGGGGTGTAGCCTCCTAATTACACTATAGGTTATACCAGTGAGAGGGGGACAGTCTAGGGATATACACACAATAGGAAGGGGAGGGATTGAGGGTATACCTCTGACAAGGTGGGCAGATCCTAGATACAGGATGGCAGCCTAACTGGATGTCACCTTGCAGGTTTGACCTGTTCTCTGGATCTCCATGGAAACCATTATCAGTAGGGTGTGAACCCACCTACAATGGACCACATGCCTTCAGGGAGAATATCTCTAAGCATCTGACCTCCCAGCATGTGTTGGCAGATAGCCTCTAATGTTTGGCTTCTCTTTGGGCGAGACAGCTGGGGGGAAAGTGTCTATAATCCCATACCTAACTTTTTTTTTTAACTTTTTATAGTGAATTGGTGAAGGTTTACAGAGCAGCTCATCAGTTTTCCATTCAGTTCATGTACATTTTGTTTCAGCTCATTGATGACAAGCCCTACAATGTAATATCTTTCCTTTTTCCATTCCTTCTTTTCCCTCAACCCTTATGAGCTATGTTCTTGGGTGTAAATGCTGCTCCTTTTATGTCAAATGGGTAATTTGTGTAAGGTTTGTCTTTTATATTCTTGTCTATCCTGTAGCTTCTGGAAATGACCTGGCAGAGCCACCAGGAGGTCCCTCAGCAGAGCCAGAAGTTCTATGTATGGATACAAAAGAGGATCTTCCAAAACAGGTGATGTGAACATCCTTTTAAATAAAAGGTCTTAAGTTTTGTTTTGTTTTTAAATCATTTTATTGGGGTCTCGTACAATTCATCACAATCCATCCATCCATTGTGTCAAGCACATTTGTACATTTATTGCCCTCATCATTCTCACAAACATTTGCTTTCTACTTGAGCCCTTGGTATCAGCTCCTCCTTTTTTCCCCTCTCTCCCTGCTCCCCCCTCCTTCATGAACCCTTGATAATTTATAAATTATTATTACTTTGTCATATCTTACACTGTCTATGTCTCCCTTCACCCACTTTTCTGTTGTCCGTCCCCCTGGGAGGAGGTTATATGTAGATCCCTGTAATCGGTTCCCCCCCTACCCCATCTTCCCTCCACCCTCCCGGTATCACCACTCTCAGCACTGGTACTGGAGGGATCATACGTCTTGGATTCCCTGTGTTTCCAGTTCCTATCTGTACCAGTGTACATCCTCTGGCCTAACCGGATTTGTAAAGTAGAATTGGATCATGATAGTGGGGTCGGATGAGCAAGCATTTAGGAACTAGAGGAAAGTTGTATGTTTCATCATTGCTACACTGCACCCTGACTGGCTCGTCTCCTCCCCGCGAAGGTTGGAGTTTTTTCAGATAAAAAAGACTACAGATTAAAAGGAGTCCCTGGGTTGTACCAATGGTATTGCTAACCAAAAGATGGGGGTTCCAGTCTACCCAGAGATGCCTTACAAGAAAGGCCTGGTGATCTACTTCTTCCAAACCAGCTATTGAAAGCTGTGGAGCACCAATTTTGCTCCAACACACATGGGATCATCACAAATCAGGATTGATTAGAGGACAGCCTATACAACTTGGAGTTTTTCATTATCAGCTCATAGGATTGAATCTTGTTATTATTTATAGTTGCATAGTGTTCTATCACAAGTGACCATGAGAGTTTTGTTTAACAAACTTTTGAAAACATCCTTGGATATATATTTTAGATTTGATACCTAATGCCTAATTGCCCTCTAGTTTAATGGCAAGATAATGCCATTGCCTGTGTCAGCTTCTACTTGTGGCAACAGCTAAGCCTGCTGTTTTCTTCTGTGCTCTCACCAGGGCTTGGTGTCAGCAACACCCAGATAGACCAAGCCAGTAGCATTTCATTCCATTTTCCATGGGGTAAGCGTGCCCTATAGGGCGGATTCAGTAGTAGACAAAAACAATGCTCTCTTCATTTGCATTTCTCTATAAGTGAATTCTTAGTGATCATTTATTTTCTGTAAACTTTTTATATCCTTTTTAAATTTTTCATAGAGTGTTTTTCCCCCTAGTGACTCATATAAACTAAATTATTTCACAGCTACTTACATTTGCCAATGAACGTACAATGGACCCACATTTCATATTGTTAGTTGTTTTAGCTGTTGTCAATTTTTTTGCTTTGGTGTTTGGTTTTGATAACTTTGTTTAAATGGCTTCTTTTCTTCTGGGGGGGAAAAAAAAGAATTTTGTTAGATCAGACAGTTGCTAATTAGCTACTTTTGCTAATGACTTTTGTTACATTTTACTGATTGCCTTCTAGGAAGAATGACAAGTGGCTCAGAGCTCTTGCAATTTTTCTGTAGCCTTCTCTATTGTGTTACTATTTTTGTGTACTTTTGTTAATTGGATAGGGGTACAGGGTCTTCTTCAAAACTGATATTTCATCTTTTCTAATTTGCAGTCTCCCCCAAAGTCAAACCCTCTCCCCACTGCTGAGATTGCGGATGATGAGGATGGAGACACTTGTACAATATGTTTGGAGCAGTGGACCAATGCTGGGGAACACCGGCTCTCAGCCTTGCGTTGTGGCCATCTCTTTGGGTACACGTGCATTTCGAAGTGGCTGAAAGGACAGACACGAAAATGCCCCCAGGTAATAAATGTGGGTAGAACGGTTTATGCTTATAGTCGGCATATTAAGTCAGGAAGACTCCTAGAACTACACTAATTATGTCCCACTGGACTCCTTAGTGCAACAAGAAAGCCAAGCACAGTGACATCGTTGTCCTCTATGCCCGAACCCTGAAAGCTGTGGACACTACTGAGCAGGAGCGCCTGAGAAAGTAAGTGGTGGTGTCAGCTTAGCTGGAGCTTACCCTTTGTATTCCTTAATGGACACCTGAGAAAAAACACTCTCTGACCACTTCTCAGGCTGCCTGGGCCCCTTGACTGGGGGTCTCCCAGTGTGCAGCACATGTTCTGGCCAGTCTTCTGAAGGAGGGGCAATGCTTTGTTTGCTTCCATCCAGCCTTGATAATGAGAGTCTGCCACCCTACTAAAGGGCTTCTGTCTTCTGCTGTTTGTTTTATTAAGCCAACCTCTAACAGCTCTCTACACAGAAGCCTCATGAGTGAAGCTTTGCACATCCAGTGCAGTGGAAGAAATGATCAAGATTTTGAAAGCCCCAGCAAGGTTGCCAGTAACACTACTTTAAAATGTTTTTGTTTTTTTTTTTAATGTTTTTGGTTGAATGAGCAGAGGCCTGAGTTTCTCGCCTTATTAGTGAGACTATCTACAGGCAGAATGAGAGACTCTGCAATGTTTTAAGAGCCTTTGATGTAGTAATTCTACTTCAGACTTTAAAAAATTTTTTCCCCATAAGAAATGGTTATGGCTGTGTGCAAGAATATTTATGAGTTTTCATTTAGCCAAGTGATTAGTTGACTGAGTAAATTGATGTGAGACAATACTATGAATTCATTAAACCTGATCTTAGAGAAGAGCAATATGCAATGTACTTTGGAGTCAGACTGTGCACACAGATTATTAGCAGCACACATACGGTTCTAAGCAGATATTCATAACTCAAGTTCAGTTAAATAGCAACCGGGAAAACCAATCCACTTATAAGTGACCCTGCACAGTTCAAATCCTTATTTAAGGGTCAACTATAAATTTTAGACACACATTTTTAACTGTCCACCCAGTAGGACAGGATAGAACTAACAACTCTTTGGGTTTCCAAGGGCAAATCTTTACATGAGTAGAAAGCTGCTTTCTCCCAAGGAGTAGAGTCCCAACTGCTGACCTTTCGTTAGCAGCCCTGACCCACTGTGCCACCAGGGTTCCCTACAGATACCCACCCCTGTCATCAAAGTGATTCCAACTCGTAGCAACCCTGAATAGGGTTTCCAAGGCTTTGTCAATCGTCACCTGAGCAGACAACCTCCTCTCTCTCCCCCAGCACTGCTGGTGGGTTTGAGTGCCCACCTGTGGTTAGTAGTCCAGTACTTTCTGGATAGCGTGAACAGGTTTTTTTGTGTGAATGAAATTCTCCTTCAATTCCATCTCTTTCTGAGAGATTACCATTCTCCTCACTTAGTGGTTCATTATTCCAAAGAATGATTATATATTTGATCTCTATATAAAATTGTTACATATACATATCTATAAATGTATGGTTTAGAAAGTTTTTACACTATGCAAATGTTATGCGGGATTCTATTTTTCATTTTCTAGTTTGCATTTTTGTGTAGTTTAATGTTCTTAATGTTCTTGTGCTCTAGTTCATATGTTTCCTTTGGGTAATGTTGATCTAATTTTCTTGGTTTCAACAATCTTGTTGAACTCTGAATAGTTTATGGAGTCTGTTGAATATTCCATGAAGATAAATAAGGACAGCATTGTCTGTTTCTTTCTAATTATTTCATTTTTAAAACTCCTGTCTCATTGGACTGGAAGGCTGCCTTTGTAGTTCATATTTTGATGCTGTTTATAGATGCGTACAAATTCTTGATGGTGAATGTGCCCTTTTATTCTGCATCCTTCCTTTCTATGCATGCAAATTCATGCCTTTTGTTTCCATTCTAATGGGTCTTTTGGTTAGCATTTGCCTTTCTGTTTAACTCTTTCTGGTGATAACATTTGAGTATCTGACAGTACAACGAATAGCTTGATTGTTACTGTTTTTTAACTGACAGATAACCTTGGTCTTGTAATATGCCAGCTTACTGTTTTTATAATTTGGCCCTGACTCCAGTCAGTAACAGGAGCCTTGGTGGTTCAGTGGGATAAGCTTTGCACTGCTTAATTGTAAGATCGGCCTTTCAAACCCACCAGCCACTCCGAGTGAAAGAGAGAGGCTACCTGTCTGCTCCCATAAAGATTTACCACCTCGCCTTAGCCAGCAGCTGTAGTATGTCCTATACGGTTACCGTGTGCCAGAATTGGTGGCTGTGGGTTTCAAGCAGTGAGTTGGGCATTTTCAGTCCCCATTCTCCAGTAGGGACCAAGCTGCTGGAGATGATTGCCTGCTTAAACACCGGACTAAGCCCTCGGGTTCCAGAACTTGAACTCTCCATGCTATGTTCTGTGTTATTTTGGACTTAGGCAATTTTCCCCCCTTTAAAAATTGTACTACTATCATAAATTTTCATAGTTACGGTGCCATCTTGATGGGAAGTCTTCAGTGTCCTTCCTAATGCTACCACTTCTTGTGATCCCTGCCCCAGTTCCTTACTGCAGGAACAGAAGATGAGGAAGCAGGCTGAGCTGGAATCAGCACAGTGCCGCCTCCAGCTGCAGGTGCTCAGTGACGAATGCACCAGGCTTCATGGGCAAGTTCGGGTGAGCATGCCCTCCTCTAACAGAATTGTAGGGTAGGAACGAAAAAGGAATCTGACCCTTTTAGGGCCATTTCAGAATCAAATGGGAGTTTCCAGGTGCTTCAGAAGGAAGCATGACCAGCTCTCTGTCTGATTAGGTCCTTTCTCATAGTCTTACACTCTGTAATGAATTCTGTTGTAGTCGGGGGTTTGAGGAAGTTATGAAGACGATGGATCTGTCCTTGCTTACGTCATTTTCTGACCATTGAGGACTTCCAACCTTAGTTAGTATTTTATGAGTCGGTGCTCTCTGTGCTTCAGTTGCTTGTTAAGATACTGTGAAAACTAAGGCAGTTTCCCAGGACTGACGTGAACATTAGAATGTATTTGATATGGAATCATTGTGTTTCAGATCAACGATAGCGCTTGAGGGTAAAGACCAATCTAAAAAGCTTTTCTTTATGAAAACTTCATTTTAGGATCTACAAAATCTCCTTGTATGTCATCAGGATCAAATTATGCAGCTCCCCAAGCATTCCCACGTACATTCGCCAGGATGCCTGCCCTCCAGCCAGAGCCAGGGTCAGCATCAGTACCACTTCCAGAAAACCTTCTCAGTCTCTCACACCGGGAACTGCCGTATCATGGCTCACTGCGAGACCCTGAGCTGCCTGGTGGTCTCACAGCCTTCCCCACAAGCCTCCTTCCTGCCAGGTGAGCAGTCCTGACACCCTCACCTCCATGCTCAGTATCAGACGCCATTCCTTTTTCTCCTCACCCTTTGTGAGGGATCCAGGTCTCACTAGTGAGTAAACATTGACCATATCCCGCCGTCTCACCTTTTCCCATTAGTTCTGTTAATACAGGTACCCTGCTTTGCTAACCAAGAGGGTAGAATTATTGCTAGTACGGTAAAGTGGGCCAAGGTGAGTTATTTGGAAGTGTGGGTTATTGGTGTCTCCCAAGGTGGATGTCAATGACTGTATGTCTCATTAAGCTTATAGATTCATTAGCGTCTGGCAAAGTTTGAGAAAACATGAGCCGAGAGGCAAATGCAAGTCAAAACAAGATTTAATACCTGTTTTCAATAGAGTTCAAATTTACAAATTCCAAAGAATTGGTATTTTGATTAGAGGATACCTGGTGGAATGGCACAGTGGGTCACTGCTCAACTCCTAGCTGAAAGAAATGTTGCCAGCCTACTAGTGAAACCCACTATTGCATTTTATGGCATTTTTAATGAAAGTTTGCATAGCAAATTAGGTTCCTGTTTGAAATTTGCCGTACAATTTGTTCTGTGATATTAGTTTACTTTTCACAGTAAGTCGACATTGTGTTTTGGTTGTTCTGATGCTAGTGCTTTGATTACTTTGTCTCCTAACCTCTTATCCCCTTACTCCTTTGCTTTAGAGAACTGGTGCTAGACCTTTAACGGATCATCATACTCATGGGCAATAGCCTTGATCTGTGTGATTTTGTCTTATTTTGTTAAAAGATGACTACAGGATAGTTTTGGTTCAAGGTTCAAAGACATATTTCAGGGTGAGGGAATCGTCTCGTCTTAACTGGTCCAGCAGGTCTGCACTTTTTAAGAACATGAGTTCTGCTATGCATTTTTCTGTTGTCCTATTAGCAAGTATGATCCGTAGAATAGCCAGGCACCAGTTAGTGCCTCTGGGCCCAGAGTAGATGAGACTGTCGTCATGTTGAAAATCAAGTCTCCTGTTGTTAGTGCTGTCCACACAGTTTTGACTCACAGCAGCCCTAGGTACAACAGAATAAAACACTGCATCCTCACAATTTCTATGTTCGACTCCATTATTACAGCCACCATGTTAATCTATCTCATGAAGGGACCTCATCCCTTTCACTGACCCTCTGCTTTCCTGAGCATAGTGTCCTTTCCCAGGAAATGGCCTTTCCTGGTAACATGTCCAAAGTACCTGAGATGGAGTCTTACCTTCTCCACCTGCCACTGAGATCACTCGTGCATGTTGCAGAGGCTTCTTCCTACTGTCTTCGGCATGTGCGGCCACGTCACCTCGTCTCTAACTTGACAGGGAGGAAGGGGAACCAACATCACCAGCCTAAGGCTGATTCCTTTGAAGCAAAGATTGGACACTCCTCCACCCTCCAACCTTTTGACCAAACTGTCTCTTCCACGGTCTACTGCTCTACTTGATTTGTTACAATGGCCACTCAGTAGTTACTAATAATAAAGTTACGGGTTTTGTTAAGAACGTGACACGTTATGATTTAGGAGTAGAAACGACTCAGAATATAGTTCTCAGCACTGCCTGCAGACACACCTGTACCAAAAGGTCCCTCGGTCCTTGCCTTGATCTGGCAAGTGTTAGAGAGCTCTTTTAGCTCTGCCCAATAAATCTCAATTCTGCCGGTACGCTTCAGCCCTAAGGTCCTCAACTCTAGCTCCTGCACATGCGGTGTCCCACTCCGCCTGCAAGCCTCCTGCTTGAAGGCACTCGGGTCTCAGCTATTGGGCTGGGACGCTCATCTTTCTGTCTCACGCTCTTGGTTATGCGGATGTTCTGTTTTCTGTTGTTTTGGGTGTCACAGGGCTCCATCTCCTGGATCACAGAGATTCGGTGCAAGGGTCTTGGGTTCAAAGGATGTGCTCCACTCCTGGCTCTGTCTTGATGCTGGTGAGGTCCTCTTTTTCCATAACAATTCATACATCAATTGCATCAAGCACATTT